CAGCCCGTTCTGACCCCAGTTTGCTCAGAAAACTGCCGTGTCACAATTCTCACTCAGATTCCTTCAGCATGAGTGTTTTCAGATACAGGATGCACCGTTTGACCGACAACTCGAGGGGTCCTGCAGCATTCCCACTAACTTATTTATAACCTACAGAAACTGTGTTCTGTGCCCTTCTTCACTTCAGATCCTACAGTTCTGTTCATCAAACACAAACTAAAGAACCTGTTGTAGCTGTTGTAAATATTAAATCACATATACATTAATTTATCTATAAACAAAGAATGATTGTTGTTTATTTCAGAAGGGACAGCACACATTACAGATCAGAATTAGCCATGAATGCAAGCATTCATCTGTAGCTCCTCAGGGGACCATTAATATACAAGTTAACACAATTCTTCCATTAAAATTAACTAAAATATCTAGTAATGCTTAAAAGGAAAAATAAAACCATATGGTAACCGTAACAATTCATTATGAAAATAAATAAACTAAAAATGCAGAATGGATATAAGATGTAAGAATCTCATTGCTGGATTTAATCTGATGTAAAAATCAGACAAACTTTCTGTGAACTGGTGTAACCTCTTAAACAAACACATAATGAAAATATGATTATTTTTTATTGTTATTTTTAAAGTATTATGAATCTGGTTCTGCACCACAAGCACAGACCTTATTGACCTGGCAAAAAATAAATTAAAAAACTTGTTAAGGTCTACTTTGTCTAAACTTTAAAGAATTAAAGGCCCAATATGTTTATTTTAGAGCAGGGGTCTTCAAAGTTTTTTGGTCTTTGACCCCCAAACTGATGAAGAGGGGGAGCAAAGACCTCATATATATTTTATATATATTTTTTACCTATTTTAAAAATATTTTTATATATATTTTGTGTTCAGTTATTATTTGATTGTTATCATTAGGAGCTGCAAGGTTGTAGAAATATTGCAAACAAAAGGCAGCACTAACAGACCACTTACAGTTTGTGTGCAGAATTCATTGTTGGGTCAGGCTGTGAGTGAAGCTGGTGTTTTCACAGAATATGTGAACTTCTGACTGAAATACATTATTTTATGGCTCCATTTATTAATTTGTGACATGTTGGATTCATGGCAATATATGTTTTTAAAGATATAACTTTGAAAAAAAGTGCTTATTTTTTTATTTTGCGAATGTCATTTCTGGGCCAGGTGTAGATTCAGCGTGGCCACTTTTTGCCCTCCGGATGTATTTTGCCCACATCTGCTCTAGGGTTATCTGATGATTTGGATGTATTTCAAACTGAAGGCAAAACTGTTAATTGTTGGATAAAAAGAACACGCTTCTTTAAATCAAACCCCAAACATCTAAATGTAGAGAAGACGTACAGATTCATATCTCTGCCAGTTTAGTGTTTTACATGCATTTTTGCAGAGGACTTTTTTTTCTCCTAAACCGAAGACTGCTTCCAAAAAAAAAAAAACTGTCAACACCTGAGACTGCTGGAAGATTAAACACAGTAAGTCTTGTTTTATGTAGCTACATGCTAACTAGCATGTGAACTGCTGTCGTTTTTTTCTACTCGCTCTGCCAGAAAAGATGAACATCCTGCTGATGAAAGGAGACAAGTGTCAGCAATTCATGTTTGGGTTAGATGGGGAGAGGGTTAAAAGTTATTGGTGTGTGTGTGTGTGTGTGTGTGTGTGTGTGTGTGTGTGTGTGTGTG